TTTGGCATTCCTTATATCTCCGGAATCCTTGTTTCGACCACTACAACTTTATGCAAAGATGTCGGGCTTATCTCACACTTAAATTTTGACGCTTATTTTATTCTTAATTCATTAAATTATAAAAATTAAGAAAATACACACATAAATCACATAATTCAAATAATTCACAAATAATACATTCTTATTATTTCAAGTTGAGTTACAAGGTTAACCTAGACTATTACATTGCTAAAAATGGCAAGCCTAGAAACACGGGTGTTACAATTATATTAACAACATATAACATAAAAATTCATCCAAAACATCAATTCATTCATATCATATAAAAATCTCGCAATGCAAAACATCAAGTAATCCAAAACATCAAGTCATTCATGTCAAGTAATTCAAAAAAAAAACCATCTAGTTCAAACCAAACATCAAGTAATCCAAAAAAAAACCATCTAGTTCAAACCAAACATCAAGTAATCAAAAAAAACCATCTAATTCAAACCAAACATCAAGTTATCCAAACATCTAGTTATCCAAAAAAAACCATCAAAACATTCAAAAAAATCTTCTTAGCGAAACATTCCATAATGTGCTCCAACAGTCTTGACCCAATTCTCACAAATAGCTGGATCAATGGTTAACCACACTTGCCTCTTATCCGCACCTTCACCAAAAAGAGCAACAGCAGTAGTGTATCTTGGATCAAATATTCCCCATCCTAACTTCTCCAATTTTTCCATACACGCATCCAAATTTGAAGAAGAATGCTTTTCCACAAATATTTTAGCAACTGTGGCAATATCTTCACCGATTTCAAGCAATCTTGAATTGGATGCATCTTTACCCTTATCTTTACTTTTATTTTGACTCTTTGCCGTATCTATAGTCTTTTGTTTTTTTGATTGAGCGGATGACTCGTCACTGAGACCTACAATTTCTTGTTGAGTGCAATCGATGTCATCAAAGTCATGCAAACTATAGTGGCTTGACTCTTGAGTAGGACGGGGAAGGGTAGAAGTTGGCCCCCAACTATTTATGTCGGTCGCAGTTGCGCCTTCAAACAACTGTGTGCAAAGGTCGGGGTAGGGTAGTGGCGTGCGTCTCAAAGAATCCACATGTTTGTTTGACTGTTTGGAAAAAATATTTTATTACTTAAATATGATAATATGTTTTTTATAACTAAAAAAATACCTTCGATTCTAGTTCCCATTCTTCTTTGGAAAGGTTGAAGGTATTGGTTGTTGAATTGTACACGTTGCCGGTTTTGTTTTTGAACTTCAAAAAAGCACCAAACTTTGACTTTAGATAGTCAGGTTCTTCATTTGTTTTTGGTCCGCAATAAAGTTGTGTTCAATTTTTAATGTTTCAGCTACATTCCTCCAAGATAACGCTTTCAAACTACTCCCTTCCCGCCCATTCACCGTAACTTCACGTAAACAAGCTTCTAGAAACGTTTTTCTACACCTTCAACCTTCCAGCTAATCCTATCCTTCTTTTCTTCCATTTTTTTGATCAATTCAACAAAAAAAATGCATGTTTTAACAACAAGTTAAACATTGCAAAAACACATTTTAACCAACAATTTAAGCAACATAAAAGCACCTTGTCAACAACTATTTCAACAACACAAGTGTACAATTTCATGATATAAGCAAGAATATATATATTTCACTGTAATATCAAACACAAATATGGATATTTCATGATAACAGATACATAACTAATGCACACTGTCAACAACTATTTCAACAAAACAAGTGTAAAATTCAATAAAACTAATGGATATTTCACGATATAAGCAAGAATATATATGATTTCACTATAACATCAAACACAAATATGGATATTTCATGATAACAACAACAAAAATAATGCATATTAAAAATCCAACATCAACATTCGATCATATGACATTAAAATTGAACATATTACATCAAAATTTCATCATATTCCTTAAACACAATCAAGCCTACCATCAAAATTGAACATATAACTTCAAATTTTCATCAATGTTCGATCATATGACATCAAATTTGAACATATAACTTCAAAATTTCATCAACATTCGATCATATGACATCAAAATTGAACATCAAAATCAAACCTAACATCAAAAATAGCTTTTGATTGAACAAATCAGAAGGTAATAGCACAACAATTTCGTTTTTGATTTTCAATTTTGAGAGGAAACAAGGAAGAAACAGAAGAAGAACAATGAAATTGAGAGGGAAAGAAGAATGAAACAGAAAGAAGATGAGGCGGAAGCATACCTGTTGCAGTCGGATGGAGATGGAGATGTATCGATGATGGCAGCGACGCAAGAGATGGAGATCCTGTCGATGATGGCGCCGGAGGTAGGATTGGTCGACGATTGAGTTTTCGTCGATAAGAAGAATACACGGACACAAGCAACGAAGTGAAGACAGAAAGGAGGCGGTCGATTAATCTAGGGTAAATTAGGAAGCGTCCCGTTTTTTTTTTTCAGACTTCTTTTGATATCTGAAAAAATAAGAGGCATCTTTTAGTTTAAGAGGTAAAAATTAATACTCAAACAAACACTCTGAATCTGAAATTTTAAGACATTACCTCTTAATTTTGCAATTAAGAGGTAAGCAAACGGGGCCTAACCCAACAATTTATCGGTGATTAGTTTTGTAATTTACGAACAATTAAGCAAGAAAAACAATAATCCCTAATAAATTCAATAAAAAAGGAGAAGAAGAAGAAACTAACCCAATAATTTATCGGTGATTAGTTTTATAATTTCCAACCAGTAAAAAGAATACGCAAAAGAAGAATAAAGATGATGGCATGAATGTGTTGGTGTAGTTGAGCAGATGGCGATGTTCGCTGATGGTTTGACAATCTTCTCCGACTGACACGTTGATTTAAGGTTGAATCGAATCCTATGAATAGAGGTGATGATTAACATCATATGGGGTGGCTCGGGTTTCAAAATCGCTAAACTTTGACCACGAATCTCTATAATTTCATCAGACCTTCGAAGTAGGGGGCGTAGGGTTTTGAGACGGGATACGTAATTTTTTTGTGGTCGACGACTGATAAAGGGATGTTGTTTTTGTAGTGTTTAAGTCATTGGATTATTTTAGGATATATTAATTTGCTTATTCTTTTACCATAGTTAGAGATATTAAGATTACCATTATGCCCTTATTTAATTATTTAATTACTTTTTATTTCCTAAATTCTCATTGGTCACAGTAAGCATACAATAGTTGTTGGAAACATTTGAACCTGACTCTCTCTCTCTCTCTCTCTCTCTCTCTATATATATATATATATATATATATATATATATATATATATATATATATATATATATATATATATATATATATATACATAATACACATCTATATATAAAAAGTAACATATTAAGATACACTTATACATACATTACAATCATAAATGGCAAAACAGATATAAATATATAAACATATACACTTATACATACAAATACAAATACACATATGACAAACAAACACATATATAAGCATACATAATTTTTTTGTTTCACCATAAATACATGCATTTATACATACATTACACACATACATACATTATACATACTTATAAAAACACATAAAAATACATATGTACATACACATAATATAAATACACAAATACATATGTTATAAAGGAACCTGATTATGTAATTGTCATAGAAGAGTGGTGGTGGAGGTATTCCGGCAGAAACTTGATTTTTTCGACAACAATTCTTAAATCATTAAATTAGAACCTTAAAATCATTAGAATAACACCAAAACAGACGATAAATCGGAAAAAAGGAGGATTCAGACCTTTTCCGTTCGTTTTGAGTCACAATAGGTCGTCGCCGGTAATAGGGTGTTGTGGTGGTTGTCGGTTGGGCTCGTGCGTTGTGGTGGTCGCCGATAAAAGGCTGTTGCGATACGATGGCCGCCGACGGTGGTAATATCAATCAAAACATAGATGGTCGGAAGGAAATCGCCAAAAATCAGAAGAGGAAATGAGGTAGAACAGAAAAGAGGTGAGTGGGAGACTTATCCGCGATAGGGATTTAGCGGCGACAAGTAATAGCGGCGATGACAACGTTTTAGCGGCGACAAGAAGGCTTTAACGTCAACACCCCTGGAGGGAAAAGTCACCACGTTTTTTTTTCGGTGACGACAACCGTTGGATTAGATGTAGATCGAACGGATAGTGTTTGCAGATTTGATGCGGATCACAATACAAATGTATTAGCAGCGACGCCTTTAGCGGCGACACCAGTACAAAGGTATTGGAAGAGCGGGGTCTTTTATTAATTTTATATTGTTAAATATTATAAATGGTAGAAAAAATAAAAAATGTAAAATTGTCTTTTTATCCGAACCCGGGGCAACGAGTGTAGTTTTGGAAACCACAAGTATAGTTTCTATCAACATTGCAAAGTTTGGACCAAATGAGAATTTGACCAAATCATAGAGACCAAAACTATAATTTACTAAGTCAAAGTTATAGAAACACTCGAATATTAGGTAACATATCAAAAGAACAACTTTAAATATTTTTATACTTTAAATTTGCAAATAATTCCATATAAACAACCTTAATAATTATTTATTGTTTACAAGTCAAAATAAAGAAAGAAAATGCTTAGTTTGAGTGTTTTATTAAGTTAACAACTTAATCATGCAAAAATAAATAAATAAATAAAATCACTAACTTTTATGCAAAAATAATTATAGTACGTAAATAAGAGTTTTCTAACAAATGTCCAAAAAGTAATTATTGACCTTATCAATAAATTTTAGGAATTAATCTAACTAATAGTAAAAAAAAAAACCCTACATGATTTTCTACTTAAACAACCTCAAAAGACCAACTACATAAACAAGTGCTACATGTCTTGATCACATCATTGTCAACCGTACATAAAATGACATCTTCATTGCAACAAACCAAAAACTAACCAAGCACGCTAGAAAATGAAGTCTCAGATCTTAATTTAATTACAATAAACAATATTTAAGATAACATAACAAGAACCACAAAGGTAACACTTGATCACAAATACATGTCTTCTAATGGTGCACCAACTTCTTTGGAGCCACAAGATCCAATGCCCGTCATCGACTACTCCTTACTCACATCTAGAATTGCTAACGAGCGTTCGAAAGTCATCCAAGATATTGGTAAAGCTTGTGAAGATTGGGGATGCTTCATGGTACGCACCAAGATTGTAGATCTTTGCTTTTTTAGGGTTTAATGTTGAATAGCAGGGATGTTTAAAATCGATATCTCAATATTTTTTATATGAATGACACGTAATTACAAAACAAGAAAATAACAAATAAAAATATATTATTCAAATTTTTAGATAATCCAACATCCGAAATTTTGAAAATTTACCATCCAAATTTGTATCCATAATTTGGATATCTAGATTTTTGGATTAAAATTTTGGATTTTTTGATAGGTTATCTGATTCACGTATATTTTTAAACCTCTAATGATTTGTATTGTGGGCTTTGTAAGTTGGTGAATCATGGGATCCCAGAGATTTTGATTGCAGAAATGATGCACGCGTCGAATGAGTTTTTCAATATGACAACAGAAGAAAAGCTTGAATTTGAAGCTCATGGTGTTTTGGATCCGATAAGATGTAGTACGGGCTTCAATCCCGACAACAAAGACAAAGACTTGTTGTGGAGGGAATATCTTCGGCTCATTGTTCATCCTGATTTTAATTGTCCTCACAAACCACGTGGTTTTAGGTATACATATTTAATGATTCAAGAACATCTTTCAAGACTTATTCCCATAAAAAGAAACATTATTCATCTTGTAACTCTTGAGTTGGCGCACCACTATTACCTAAATATTATCAAATGAGATGGAAATATGATACACAACTCCCTGCTAGATAGCCATCATAAATTAAATCTCAATACCATAAACTATTGTTTAAAGATTTGAACCATTGACTACTTATGCAAAAGGATTGTTTGATTTCTTTGTAATTAATTTGTGGGTAACACAGTGAACTTGCATCGATTTATGTCAAAAAGACACGTATGGTTGCAATGGAATTGGTGAAGGGGGTTTCAGAAAGCTTAGGGTTTGAAGCATCGTACATGAACGAAGAACTAAATTTAGACTCGGGGTTTCAGTTGTTAGCAATCAACTATTATCCCTCTCTCATGGAGTTCGATGGCAAACGGGGGTTAATGCCACATACGGATCATGGGCTCTTGACTCTACTATATGAAAATGGTGTTCCTGGTCTTGAAGTTCTTCAAAACAGGAAATGGATTGGTATGAGTGATGTTCCAAATGCATTCGCAATACTAATTTCAGATCATATGGAGGTAAGTTGAAACTAGGACACCATTTATTACATCAGACATGACTAGAAATGACTAACACATAACTAGACAATATAAGATAGTCTCTCTTATACCAAGTTTGGCATGAATTGGACACTATGACATATATCAATGTGAGAAAACATGTAATTTTTTTCATTAAAAAATGTGCAACATGAAAAACTATCAAAATCTCTTTTCATTATTTTCATCAAAAATATACCTAAAGATTGTCTCGTTAAGTCTCATATAACAAACACAACATAAGGCTGCATTTGTTACACATTATGAAAAAGACAAGCAATTTGGGTTATATGTGATGATAAGAACATTCATGTCATATGCAAAACGTCCAACTTTATTATGGATGTCATAAAAATATAATTTTTGTCAAATTACATAAGTCTATTCCAAGGCACGTTAAATGCAGTAAAAAAAACCATCTTCATGTTGTGCACATAGCCTAACAAACACGACATTGTTTCTAAAAAAAGATTGAGATTACTAAAAAAATCCAAACATCTTAACAGATATTTAGCAATGGGAAATACAAGAGTAAGTTGCATCGAACAGTTGTCAACGATAAACGTACAAGAATCACACTTGTGAACCCTAACGGACCATCACTTGACACCACCGTGGGCCCATCATCAAGACTTCTAGAACGTGACACGTGTCTCCCTCGCTATCTCCCAATGAAATATAGCGAATATCTCAAGTTGCAAACTAAACTCACAACGGAAGGAAAGCACGCCTTCGACAAAATCCGACTCTTATAAAACTTCCAATTTTTTGTTTCCTTTTTATATTTGTTTGTAACGTTATTATCCATAAATCTCCCAAATCAATAAAAAAAAATTGATCTTTATTACAACATGATATATATAATTAATCGATTTTCACATATAATATGATACAAGTATATTTACATTTACATGAGAAACCTTAGAAACTCATTTTATTAAGGACTCTCGAAAATGGTAATTACAATATATGCATTTGCTATGTATATAAACAAAGAATATCATGTTACATTTGTGATAAAACGTCGCTAATTTTTCGAAGCTCTTTAAGAGCTCCCATGGCTTTAAATTGTCCTCTGCCTACAAAGTTCTCTATAGGGTCATTTTGGTCTTTTTCTTGCTGGAAAACAGATTCAATCACCTAAAGATTACAAAAGTAATTTGAGAACATGTAACAGAATTCAAAGAGAATAATAAAACAAAAACAAGTAAAATACCTCGATATTTTCAATCATGGATCGAGCAAGATTTTTCAAATTCTGTTCAACAACTTCCGGTTTGCTAGTTGTACATGATGTTGATGATGATGATGATGATGATGATGATGATGATGATGATGATATAGGCATTCCATTCTGTGAATGATCAAATTCAAAAACAGGCTCGGAAGTAGACGAAGAACCCTCATTCCCATTTCTTGCAAACATCCATAACCACGGAAACTTTCCCGAAAGAACTCTTCTTTCCCTAAAATTCTCCCCCAACTTTGGCGAATTGTCACTTTGCCCCTCCTTATTAAAAATCTCTTCGGGCGGGTCCGAAACCGGTAAAGGCGAAGCCACTTCATTAACCGAAGAATTTGACGCCACACTGCTTACTTCCATGTCAATATGAGAAACCGCATCGGAAAAAACCGAGGCGGCTTCATGACTTTCATCCATAGCCATGGCTTTTGTAACTGTAACAGGCGACTGTAACTGTGGCTGTGACTGAGTGGGGCCCGTTTTGATTTGACTCACTTTCGAAAGAAGTCTCGCGGATTCTGTTCTTGATAACCGCATCTTGACTCTCTCTGACCACCCTTTAATCCGGTTTCTCACATGTTTATGTAAATTCGCTTGTTTTTGTTCTTCTTCTTCTTTCAACAAAACTCTCCATTTCTCCTCCCAATAACTCTCGGGCACCCCGGGGCTGCCCGGAGGGGCAGCCCCGGGGTCAGACGGGAGACTGTGACTCCTCGATTTACTCCTCTTAAACCGGGCCCCACCTCCATGAACCGAATTAATCGCATCGATCGCGACATTCATTAAAGATTTAGCTTTTTTCACAAGCTTCCCAACATTAACGTCTTCTGGAAAGTTCAACAGTCGTTGCAAACACGAAGTCGCGTTTTCCGTCGCGAGAAGCGACGACCGCAAGTAAAGAATCATCGAAACCGCAAGCGCAGAAATGAACGCGCCGCGTGTCGATTTCAAAACCCCGGAATTCAATTCCGATTCCGATTCCGACGAGGGAGTTAACCGAGCGTTGTCGAGGGAGAAAATTTCGTCCCAAATGACCAAAAGGTCCTCGAGGGCAAATTCGCGTCCGAAAAGAACACGTAGCCATCGAAGCGCGAAGTACTGCGGTTCAACTCCTAGCTCGACTAAATGAGTGTAAAGAGACAAATCAACGACTGATAACAAATGGTATAATTGCGATGAGGCTTCGATCACGGGGGATACTCCCGTCTGAGAATGGGAAAAAAAGTTTGCCATGGCAACTGCGCCTTTGTCACCGTTCATTAAGGCATCGAAGATGGAGTAGGCGTCGTGTTCGATGAATTTTTCGGAGAGGATAATTCCCAATTCGCCCTCGGCTCCGTATGCGTCGCTAAAGGAGATGATTGTTTGGATTTTGGGGTCGAGGGAATGGAAGTTGTTGAGTTTTGATTGGTTGTTTTGGGTTGTGATGTCATCGGTTTTTTCGAAATCGGATTCGGTGAATGATAAGCCATCGAAATTGTCGGTGAAGTAATCTTGGTATTGTTTTCGGACTTGTGAAAGACGCGATAAATCGGCTTGAAGGACGTATAATAATGGAGCAAGAAGTTCATGCATTCCTGAAAAGTATAAAAATAAATAAATAAATAAAGGATTATCTACAGAAAAGTCCCAAACTTTTTTCAAAAGTTTCAATAAAGTCGTAATTTTTTTTTTTTTTGAACAGAAAAGTCCTAATAATTTGATTTTTTGCCTAAATTAACGAAAATGTCATTTTTTTAATTTGATCCGCAAATGATAGATTATATGATTTTTTCAAAATATTGGGACTTTTCTGTTCAAAAAATAAAAAAATAGGACTCTATTGAAACTTTTGAAAAAAGTTTGGGACTTTTCTGTAGATAACCCATAAATAAAAAGTTGTTTTTAGTCTCTATAAAATTATGGTATTCAAGTGTAGTATATATTTAGGCTATGTTCGGTGTACTAGCTGAAAAGCTACTTGTTAGCTGAAGAGCTAGCTGCTAGCTTATAAGATAGCTGATAAAAAATGACATTTGGTAAAAACTAGCTGAAAGATATAAAATTGACATAAAAGGTCATTCAGAAAAATATGATGTTTATAATTTATTAAGGGTATATTTAGAAAAAAAAAAATTATAAGTTCCTAAAAAGCTAGTCCAAGTTAGCTATTAAGCTACTTTTTGGCTTGACAACTTTAAAAAGCCCGAAAAATAAGCTAACTATGGCATGCCAAACATAGCCTTAAACACCACAAAGAAAACATTTTTACAAAAAAAGTCATTGTTTTTTAGCCATTTATCTGAATTTGATGCCCCTTTATGGGAAATATTGTGACATGGCATTAAAACATAATGGTTTTAAAGGTGTTTGGAAAATGCCACATCAGCACTAACCGGTGGCTCTTTTGAAAAAAAAAAAAAAAAAAAATGAAAAAGGCTTCCATGCAAAAAGGAAAAAGTTAATGTGGCCTTTTCAAGTAAATGGCAAAAAAGGCAGTGACTTTTTTTTTGTTAATAGGCTTAAAAAAGAATACATAAACACAAAAAACCAAACCTTGAAACAAGAACTTTGTGTGTTTTTTGTATCATTGTTTACACACAACAAAGAAACTTAAAATAGTGGAAAACTAACTTTGACATTTTTAAATTTAAGCATTATAAAACAGTATATTAGTATATTACCTTGTCTGTAGCCATAGTTTGGGTGTCTAATACACCAAAGTAACAAAATCCTTCTCAATACACCTTGGCAACCAGGTGTCTGAAAGTAGCTACCATGTTCAGGATACAACCTTGACAAATCCTGATCAACCATTTTCTCTAATTCAGCTTTATGAAAAAAGCGACCCCACATGCTATCTGCATTAATATCAGTGAGCTATTGACATGAAACAATCAAAGATTTCATGGTATGCATTCTTTGTAAATGCAAAAATAGAATCATGTCACCTCAAAACAATATCAATGCTATGTAAAAGGTAATAAATGTACCAGGGTTTTGTGAAAGAGGATTGTCCATAACAAGATCACGAAAATTGCTTTCATCTTTGGAAATATGAGGATTGATAAGAAGCCTCCTCCTTAAAGCTGCATATCTGGAAAATGGAAATACAACATTTAACTTCTTCTCAGATGCAATTAGTTCTAAAAATCTTGGAAACAGAGAAAGATGTGGGAGAAGTAAAAGAACTTCAAGCTTAACAATATGAAGGTTAGACAAGATTATGTTAAACCCTATCAAACAGTAAAATCCTATAGAAAATCTAGTCAGAGTTAACCAGCTAAAGCCTATGTTGGATGTGATAAAATATCAAGAACAACAACAATGGTGATGTATTTGATCAGATGTTCATATAAACCACAAGCCTCAGTTGGAAAAATTAACACGTGAATTATCAATTAAACATGCAATTTAACACCTTAATGTCTATACAGAGGTATGGAGAGAACGGATACCTTCTACGGGAATTGGCGATTACACGACGAAAATCATCGACGGAGGAGGAGGAAGGAGGTAAAATCCCCAAATCTATACGCCATTGAACCCCTCTTAGGTCTCCAAAACGGCGATGATTCTCCAAACCGGTTCTCTCCGGTGATAAGTCTCCCGACGACGACGATTCCGGCAATGTCTTCTTCGTCGGCTCGATTGGAGCCGCAGGTGACATAATTTAATATGCCCCAAAAAAAATTCACAAAACCCTCGAAATCTCAATTGGATAAACTATATCACAATGTTTGACAGATTGGAACACCATGTAACCGTTATATACGATCACCAAAGGAAACTTTCTAATGATGAATAAATCATGGGATATATGAATCGAAAAAGAGATTTTTTTCGAACTCCAGAATTCAGAAAGAAAGACTTAGGTAAACGTTGTTGATTGTTAGGGTTTGTGAGGATTGCGCGATGAATAATAAAAAAGATGTTGTAAATGTGAGATGAAAATTCAAGAAGACAGAGTTATACACAAAAATGTTGAGGGATTTTCACGAAGAAAATCATAAAATTCTTAATTTTGATATTGACTGCAAGAACATCCGAGAAGATGAAAGTGGTGAGATGGAGCCTCGCGGAATGATTCGGATATTCTCATTATTTTACAACTCTTGATACGCTCCGATGCCATTATTAAAAATGTTAAAGAGGATTGGAACTCGGTCTTATTAACTTTTCTTATGGATCATGACATCATGTTACCTTTTTTATTACGCTCTATTTGATTTCATTAATGGGATATTCCTAGAGAAATATTTAGAGTTGCACAAAGACTGGTTTTGGATAAGATCGGAAAGAAAAATGAGAGGGAAAATCATCTTTGAGGGTAATAAAGTTTTCGATAAGTACTCATTTGGTCTCTTATCTTTTTTTTTTTTGTCATTATTATACCACTGAACTTAATAATCATGTTCACCAAAATCCTCGATGCCGGTTATCACCTGTTTTGCCGGTTATCTCATTTAATTAGAGATGACATGTCTTATTATGTGGACCTAGAACACATTGCAAACCAGTTACTCTTTCACCCCATTTTCTCCTTACAGTTAGGGTTTAATCGAATATTACAGTTATGGAATTGAAGAGAAGTGGTAAATGCGAGTGTTACATTGAAGAATGTGGACTCCGATTCCAAACTCCGTAAGTATTTAACAGTTTATGTACATTATAATGGTTTATTCGCACCAAAACCATTAGTGTACTTGAACGTTGTTGTTGCTTCAATCTCTGATGTCGATTTTGGTGCAATGGATCTCAAAGAGTTTAAGTTGTTTATTGCAATGTTGATTGAAGGTAGATGCGATAATGTACATTACTACACTAGAAATGAACCATTGACAGAGGGTATTAGGAGAATTGGGAATGATGTTGACTACTATGAGTTTATTGAAACAGGTTATAGTGATGAAGTTGGTCTAACAATGAATGTGTATATAGACCACGAAAATGAAGTTGTACTTGATTGGGCTGATATGGAAGTACTAGAAGATGATGAAGGGCAGTATTTTGAGCCAGATGTGGATGATGATAAAGATTCACAACTTTCTGATGATATTCCATATGAGCATGAAGTAAATGGTTACATTCCTTCTCTTGACAAGATTGTTGGTGATGAATTCTTACACCGGGTGTCAGGTATTTCTAAGGATAAAAATGATGATCTTGAAACTGATAAGGTTGAAACCAACAATGGGGATGACAAACCAATGTACTCTGTCCATAATGAGAACCAAAAATAGGACAAAATGGTGTCAATTCTAGGTATGAGATTCTCTAACCCTATGGAACTGAAAAATTGTTTGACTAACTATGTAGTGAAGAATGGGTACAATCTTTATTATGAGAAAAATGATAGTCAGAGGTTATTAGTGAGATGTTCTAAAGATAGCAAGAATCCCTCTTGTCCTTTTAGACTGTGGGCTTCTTGGATGAGTAGTGAAAGGTCTTTCCAGATTAAGTCCTTAGTTGATGACCATAACTGTTCAAGAATCTTCAAACTTGGTTCCATTGTAACATATAAATGGATTGGAAAGCATTTTAAGAATAAGCTTTTAAAGAACCCCAAAATGAGCATAAGGAAAATGAAAGCCAAAGTGAGTACAAAGTTTAACTTGATTTTTAGTGTGACTCAATGTAGAAATGCTAGGAGATATGCTTTGGATGAGATAAAGGGTAGTTTGATAGAACATTATGGTAAAGTATGGAGTTATGATGAAGAGATAATGAGGACAAATCCTGGTTCAACAGTAAAGATAGATGTGAATGCCATGCCTGATTCCACCACTTACTTTTCTAAAATGTATGTTTGTTTTAAGAGTGTGAAGGATGGTTGGATTGCAACATGTAAGAGGGTAATAGGGGTAGGTGGTTGTTTTTTAAAGGGTATATATAGAGGCCAATTGTTAGCAGCTATGGGCAGGGATGCAAACCACCACATTTTCCCTATTGCATGGGTTGTGGTGGCAGTAGAAAATAAGGAAACATGGAAGTGGTTTCTTAACCTCTTACTGAGTGACATTAAAATGAGAATTAGCCATGGATTGACCCTCATATCAGACCAACACAAGGTATATTTTATTTTATGTTTTGTTTGAGTTCAATGTTTTTTGTTATGTCATCTATTTCTTGTTTCTTTCAGGGATTGGTACAGGCTATCAAAGAAAGAGTTTCAGTAGTAGAGCATAGACAATGTGCTAGGCACATCTATGCTAACTTCAAGAAAAGATTCAAATGTGAACAATATAGGAAGTTTTTTGGGCAGCTTCTGCTAGTACTACTCAACCAAAATTTAAGGTAGAAATGAATTCCATAAAAAAAATTAACCCTTTAGCTTATGAACACCTCATGGAAAGGGACCCTAAAAGTTGGTGCAGGGCATTCTTTGAAGTGGACAAGGCTTGTGATGCTTATGAGAATGGCATATCAAAAAGTTTCAACTCTATTATTGATCTTGCTAGGAAGAGACCACTCCTCACCATGTTGGAAGAGATTCGGATTTATGCAATGGAAAGGATGTATAGAATGCTGCTAGAGGGATAAAAGTTAGGGTAATTTAAAAATATGTCCATCTATAAGATTAAAGATATCAAAGTTAAAGAAACAGCAAAGGTATGATATAACTTGTATTTTATAAGTATTATTATGTCATCTAGTAGATTAATAGAACTTGTTATTTTTGTGGACAGATTTTGGGGAGTTATATATTCTGGGGTACAAAAATATGAGGTTAGGATTGGAAATGATGGATATGCTATGGACCTTACCAACAACACATGTGGATGTAGATCTTGGCAAGTATCAAGTATCCCATGTGTGCATGTAGTGGCAGCCATTTCATACCTCAACAGAAATGCAGAGGATTATGTTATACCATGGTTCCATACAACCATGTTCTTGATTTGTTACAACCATACCATTAATCCACTTAATGGTAGTTCCATGTGGCCTGAAGCTCCCTACATGAAGCCATTGCCTCCTCAAAAAAGAAGGTTACCAGGAAGGCCAACCCTTAAAAGGAAAATGGATCAATCTGAGAGGGAAAGCAAGGGGAAAACAAGGCATACTATCTCAAAAGTAGGTGCAGTTAATAGATGCACTATTTGTAGAGAAAGGGGCCACAATAGTTCAACATGTCCTACTATACCAGCAGATGTAGCATCCACTTCAAGGCCAAAAAACAAGAAACCTAAAAAATGTAAAAAGGAGAAAGGTATGTTATTAAAATTAAAACGATATAATTAAATTGCAACAGCCAACTCATTAACTACATTTTTGTATAGCATGTAAAGTGGAACCAGTTCAAGTGGATCCAATTTAAGTAGATCCAGCTCAAGTGGGTCCAGTTCAAGTAAATCCAGCTCCATATGTTGAACCAGTTGATGATTGTAACGCCCGTAGATCAGGGATAGTCAATTTAGAGATGTTAAGCGTCAAAAATGACTTTTTGATGGAAGATTAATTTGAAGGAATAATCTTAACTAAGTTGTAGTATATGTTACAAGGATTCAGTACACTTATTGAACGCCAAAATCCGAGTTATAACGAAGAAGCTATGACATGTCGAAGTTTCGCGACAAAACCAGTACGACGCTGAATGACGTAAAAAGTGAATTTATGTTAGAGTGATATTTAGACTTACCGATCTAAACAAAAGTCGTAGAGTTCGTTAAACCATGAGCGTGCATAAAAACAACGTCCGAATCTAACTTCGTATGAGGAAGTTATGATTCTTCTAAGTTTCGACTTAACGGTATGCAGCCCGAATACTCGATTTGAGATCGAGCGGTTTTTAGCCGAAACAATCTAAACAAGAATTTAAGATCTTGTTGATAGTAGTGCAACGGTAAAAAGACAGACAAAAACAGATGTCAGATGAAGAAGTTATGAATTTATAACAGAGTTTTCCTGTCCCGACCTACTAAATTAATATAACAAAAATAAATTCAAAATTAGCCGATGAAGTCTAAACGAAAGTTGTAGATCATAGTCTCACCTACGCGGGGATATAAAGAACGTCGAAAATGGATCTCGTATGAGGAAGATATGAATTTTTGAAGTTTATTAAATAATTAAAGTATTTAATTTAAATATAAATTCGGATATTATCCAAAGGAGGGGAGTCACCGGGCTTATCCGGGTTACGCCCAGCGTACCTGGATTTATGCCCAATGTAATTCGAAGAATCAGCCCTATATAAAGGGTGTGAGGGCAGCCGAGTTCCTTGCTCAATTCCTCTCCTCACTTTCCCGTTTTACCTCGTTTTTCATGCAAGAAATATCCCGAAGCCCCGATATTAATCCCAAGCCCCGAAGCAAGTCCCAAAGCCCCGAAGATCCCAAGAAGTAAAATTTCTGAGCCGAAGCTCTCCCCGCGAGAAGCCCAGTTTTTATGAAGATCTTCTAGATCTACTGAAGAATACTACTTTTACAAGTCGTAGTGCTGTCTGATCATCTTCTGATCAGGTGAGTGTGTGGTTACTTTCTTCTAACACATAAATATGAAGTATTTGTTTTGAAATGTATATTATGTGTTTATATACTATTGTTTATTTGAGATAAGTGTGGAATGGATGTTTCATATGGTTTTTAAATGAGTTAAAATGTATATGTATTTTATATCTACTAATATGTTGGGTAGAACATAGGTAGATGAGATAGTTGGTATGTGATAAAATGATGAGGTAAATGACGAGATATGTAAGATGCTTAAAGAATAATATTGGTAGATGCACCAAGTAGAGAATGTCATAATACTAGCAGATACGCTTGAGAATAATATTGGTAGATGCACCAAATAGAGAATGTCATAATACTAGCATATGCGCTTATAGGATAATCCTGGCAGATGCGCTTATAGGATAATGTCAGCAGACACGCCCAAAAGCGAATGTCATAAACCTGGCAGTCGCATCTCATAGTGTATGACGTAATCCTAGCAGATGCGCTTAAAGGATGATGTTGGTAGATGCGTCTTATATAGCAATAGATTTTGTGTCAATTCCTTAGATCAATCCTTAGGAATGAATGAATGACGGGTAGTTGAATTCTGAGGGTAAAATCCTAAGAAATAAAGAAGATAATGGGGATGGTTAATTGGGTTGATTGTTTGATGGTTGAATATAATAATTATATTATTGTGGGTTGAAAACCCTATACGCTCACCAGGCTCCCAAGTCTGACCCACTCAGTTTTCTTTGTATCACAGGTATTAATACGAAGACATATTTCACTAAGAGATTAAAGGAGATGTAAATCACTATTGTAAATAAATGTAAGTTATGTTTATGCTTATGTGTCTGTATCAGAACATGACATCTCGAGATTTTGTTATATAATGAAAATGCATTTCTTTAAGAAATACTTTGATAAATTCTTATCATATTTTGTTTTGGGAACAAATTCCGCATCAGTTTTCTTTAAACGATTACTCTGATTTTAAAAACAAAGCATAAACAAATCGGTCTTTTCTGGCCGTGAAATTGAGAATGTCACAATGATCCAGCTCCACATGTTGAACCAGTTCAAGTAGATGATCCACATCCAATTACTGATGCCCTAGTAGATGATCCTGTTAATGATGTCTCTGCCCAACCGGTTGCAACTAGGCAGAGGATACGAAAATACTCAGAAAGAATTACAAAGATAGGGTTGAGGAGGAAGGTTTTGAAGAAAGAAGGAAGCACTGATCACCACCCAATGGTGTTGGAATGATTTTATGTTTAAAGATTTTTGGAAAGACAAACTTTTAGTCTTTTAATTATGTAATTGGGAAAACTTAAAGAATCATGGCACATGGCACATCTTTTGACAGATTAGGACAACTGTGGACACAACTTTTGTAATGGTGCACATGCTAATGCAATATTACAACTTTGTCTTTTATCGATATGCTTTGGTGTTTGTTTATTTGCATATGGATTGTTTAATATTATATTATCTATCATTAATTAAGATATGTTTGATGTTGTTGTTGTGGTTAATCTGGACCATTTTACCCTTGGATCACATCAAGACATTAACACTTGATTACTACCAAACTTAATGTGGACCATTTTACCCCTGCATCATTTCCAATTCACTAACCTGTTAAACACATTAATACTTCTTTGAATCCACTCAAAACATCAAACTATCATTAATCAAAAAGATTTAGTCTTAATACATTAAGAAATGTTTGATGTATCCAATGTGGTTAATGTGGACCATTTTACCCTTTGATCACATCAAGACATTAACAATTTGTTACTGCCAAATCTAATATGGACCATTTTACCCTTGCATCATGTCCAAGTCACTAACCTGTTAAACACATTAATACTTCTTTCAAACCACTCAAAACATCAAACTATCATTAATCAAAAAGATTTTGTCTTAATACATCAAACAAATTACAACATTAAGGGTTACATTTAGTCATTGAATACAGCTAAACTAACTACTTCTTAAACACAAACAACAAAAACAACATAGTTATCACAACTTTATGAGTAAATAGCTTCCATTTGAGTTTTTCAAACTCTTGTCTAACAACCAAATTTTCTTGTTCCATCTTCATCTTACATATGCTGATCTCGTTTTCCAATATAGAAACTTTGAGGTTTAAATTGCACAGCTCTGTTTTGTCCTTCCCAGAACTGACTTCATTTTCAGGCGTTTTAGGTTCCAACCATTCCTAGAACTTGCATTTTGGTCCTTCATTCTTGAAAAAAAAGTAACAAATTGGTTAAAGAAAGAAGATTAAACGAAAAGTAAGAAACATTTGTTTTACCATGGAGTTAGGGCACAATCTGATTTTTTTTCCTGGATTGTCTTTAGTTCGTGAAGTTCTTACATGAGATGGTAACCCATAGTAACAAAGATTTTCAGGTTGCAATTCAGCATTTCATTTGGAAGATATAGAAGAAGAAGAAGAAGAAGAAGAAGCATCCATGTCGATCTAGGGCAAGAATGATGTAGTACAACAACTTTGCAATTAATAAGCTCAATTTATGCCACTTAATGCCACATAATATCCACATAAGCAGTATCCTACAATAACCGGTATTGAGGGTTTTGGTGAGTAGGATTATTAAGTTCAATGGTATAATAATGACAAAAAAGATAAGGGATCAAATGAGTACTTATCGAAGACTTTAGTACCCTCAAAGGTCATTTTCCCAAAATGAGATTGAATCGGTTTAAAATGAGACCTGAATCGAAAAAATAACGATTTCAGACCGTCCGTTACTAATCCGAAAAAAGAAAATTGACCGTTCCAAGAATGCTTCCAAAAGCAACTGGATCGTCCGACATTGAGGCAAGAGCAGTCTGAAACCAGTCTCAAAAGACCGGTAGCCAAAGTTTATAAACATATCTTTTTGTGTTGATTACATAATTTTTAATCATACATTATCTATTTTTTTTTCCTTTTTTACTTTTATTAAACTTAAGTGTATCATTTTTAATAAATCTCAATGTATCATTTTGGTGTTATCACATATATGTTAACAGAAAAACCCAAAACCAAAAAACCGAAAAATACCAAAAAAAAACCCAAAAAAAATTGTACAGAAAGACTACAAGATCGAACCAAAAAAAGACCGGTCTGAAAAAAGACCAGCTCGAGACCATCCGGACTAGTCCGAAAAAGATCGGACCATTATGAGACCGACCCCAAAAAGAGCAAACAATTTCAAGACCGACCCAAGACCGCTCTATATTGAAGTTTTTTAAGTTCTTCGGTTTATCTTAAAATGTTTTTTTGGTGTGTAAAATTCAGGTTTTTATGAAGAAAAATTACTTAAAAGGGTAACATTGTTTTTCTTTTGTATACATTTAGTTATTTATGTTTTTTTTTTTTATATAAAATACACTTGTAAGTTTGTTGATTTTGTCCATATTTACTCGTTTGTACCGACAACTTCAGGTTTGGCTGAGTGACATTGTATGTGGCATAATGACTAATGAGATGGCATCATATGTGGTTTACTCCATAGAGAAAATAACTTAAAATGGTAAATTTACTTTCGTTTTGTACGTATTTAGTGTAACAACCGCATGATCGAGCTAGTTAACTTAGGATAAATAATCTTAACCAAAGTTATAATATATGTCACAAAGATTTTGTAGATATAAAAATCGTTGGAATCCGACTTATAACAAATAAGTTATGACTCGTCGAATTTTCATGATTATAGCGGTACGACTCTTCGTATCGTAAAAAGTGAATTTTTACAAAATACTTTTTTAGCCTTAGAGATCTAAACGAAAGGCGTGGTAGATGTTAAACCGAAAGCGTACAAATAAAGAACGTCCAAATCTAACTTCATAAGAGGAAGTTATGAATTTTTCAAAGTTTCAGTGTAACATTATACAACTAAGAAATCAAATTTTAGATTGGTCAATTTTAGCCAAAATGATTTGAATAAGAATTGAAGATCTCACTAATATGATTTTTAATGATAAAAAGAAAGTCGAAAACGGAGTTCGTATGTAGACGTTATGAATTTTATACGGTCGTTAACAGTGTAATCTTCTCAGCCTATTAAATTTAAAATTGATCAGGAATTCACCAATAGGGTCAAAAGGAAAGTTGTAGATCTTGTCAATAGCTATGCGTTTTATGTGTCAACACCAGGCAAAGCCTTGGTGCCTATGCAAGACTCACGACGTGAGTGGCATGTCCCACAACATGAAAGGCCCCTAGATAGCCTATAAATGGAGCTGAAGATCACTCCATTCTTTTCACCTTTCAACCCCATTCACTCCCAAACCCTCCAAAGTCCCAAGACCTTTTCTCTAGCACCTCCTAGGTGTTAGTAGCGAAGCCCGGAGCGCCAGAAAGCCTCGAGGAGAAGAGCTTTCGGCTCAAAAGTTCTGTGTAATACCCATAAAAATCATGTCAAATTTAAACTTTTCAAAACATTTAAAAACCAATAGTCATTACAAATTTGTTTTCAAAAATAGTCCATGTCAGAGTTTCCCAGAAACAAAGTCATAAAAAGCAAGGAGCGGTACGATCACACCTTTGCCTTGCTGCGATCCCCTGATGTACCTGAACAACAAACTGAAACTGTTAGCCCTGAGAGCTTAGTGAGTTCCCCCAAAATACCCATACACACAACAATCCACATATAATCATAAATAACATACTATGGGTCTAGTCAACCATCGGGTTGGAATACCCTAGGCCCTCAACCATCCGGTTGGAATGCCAACATACTACGGGTCCAATCATCATCAAGATGGAATACCCCAACCCTACAACCAACAAGTTGGAATGCCCACATAGTATGAGTCCAATCATCCTCGGGATGGAATACTCACGACCCATAACCAACAAGTTGGAATGCTCAGGTCTATTGGCTTTCGCACAAAGCAGATAAGCCTTAACCGCCAAACAAACATGTGCACATATAACAGAAAATCACATAACAGTCCATAGACAAACAACCCGATCTAACTAATCATATCACATAAAACAAAATACCATCCTATCTACCAGGGTTCCGATCCAACAGATCATACTAGCATAACATATACAGATAACAATCCAAATGGCCGACCTTGGTACCTTAGACCCTTGAGTATAGTGAGGATAACTCACCTCGTAAGTAGTTCCGAAGTACTGCAAATCTCTAATTTCTATCTCACCGGAAATCCCAAACTATTACATAATAAATACCAAGTCAATACACAAATAATAGTCTTGACTACAGCCCACCCAATCCATCATGTCCTTTCTCTTTATTAGCCCAAGGCCCAATGCCAAATCAATAAACTTGAAAGTCTTTATGCAAAGCCTATTATTGGTAAATTGGTCCCAACTTCCTAATTAGGCCTAATTTCAAGATCCATTATCAAAATCTAGGCCAAAACATCATGTTCAAAAAGTCTACCAAATGCCCAAATCCAACTAGTCCATAAACAGTCCAAAACTCGAAGCCCAAATGTCAAAGGTCCAATAGAGGACCTATGCGGGGAGTACTCTTCTGGTACGCTGGGTGTACTCGTTCGGATGTTGACCACCATCGGGGTGGTTGACGAAGTACGCTGGGCGTACTAGATTTACGTTGGGCGTACGCGGGGCTTAGCCAAAACCCTAATAAGCGCTTAATGGCTTAAGCACTTAAGCCCAAACTTCAGGTCCAGTGACCTAAGGTGCCTTGGATTCATAAAGTTACGAACTTTAACATTTTGGACGTCTAAAAAGCTCTTAATACTTGGTCTTAACCCATTAAGACCTTCTTATTCCATGCATGGGGCACATTCAGCTATTGGGACCTCATTTATATCACTCAAAACCCCTTCAAGAGTCTATAAGGACAGTTCGTTTCGTCCAAATCACAACATGCACCATATTGGGAATTTTTGGGACAAGAGATGGTTCTTTAAAGCAAAATGGCAAGATGTCACAACCCGAAAATTTTTATTGGGTTAGGTCCAACACATAAACTTAAGGTCAAACTTATAGGCTTCTAGACCAAGTATACGTAAGGGTTGCATGTTAAGAAGTGAACCACGTAAGAACCAAGAGCCTAGAACAACATTTGAGCCATAAAACCTCAACAAGTGAGGTTCACGGCTAAGGACCATGTTCACGACCGTGAACCCCTATTAGGTCATGAACTCATTGTATATTGATGAGTTTTTGCCACTTTTCCTTCACTTCTTCTTCTCTTGGCCGCAATCACTCCATTCTCTCTCAAGTATCATAGTTCATGAACACCATC